GTGGGAGACCCTGGGTTCGATACTCAGCACCACATAAAAATAAATAAGTGAAATACAGGTACTATTTTCCAACTACAACTAAAAAATAAATATTAAAATAAATACATAAATACCATTATTATGAAGACTACATTAGAAAAAATAATTTTATATGTCTAGGATTATATTCAAGAAAATAAATTAATAATAATGATGTTAAATAATAAAAACTGAAGAAAGAAAATGTCACATAATTAGACACAGGTAAATAAATATATATATGAGAAATGGTAGTATTTACAGCTGAGATCTGAATTTTATAAGGAAAAAGAGTCTGTGAAAGGAAGTAAACATTAAAAAAAGAAAATAGATTCTCCAAAGAACTGAGAAGAAAAGATGGTATTTGTACTCAAGAATGTAATGGTAATAATATTCATATAAGTACAGACTCTCAAGTTTAACCCCATAAAAACTGAAAAAAAAATACTCAATTAACTTTAAAAACCATTACAAGTTTAATGAATGTATAATTTTAAATTCCACGCATAACACTTCAAAAAACAAAATAACAAAAAAATGAAGTAACTCCTTCAAAAACCTATCTAGATTTATAATTTGTGCATGAATGGAAATGACAGCAGAATCTAAATATTTTTACTAATGTTCTCACTATAACCTGCTTAATTTTCATTATCTTTGCTATAAATTATAAGCAAAACTCAATCACCTTTTTTTTGCTCAAAATTTTAAAATGCAAATAAACAAATCACAATACACCCCAAACTGAGAAACTCTATAGAAAAGAAAAAAGTAGATACATATGAAAATATACATACCCAAGTACCCCTTAATAACAACAAAATTTAATCACAAGATAAGCCAGCTTAAAAACATATCTATAATTATTATTATCCCAGTGTTTTTAAAATATTGTTTTACTTACCTAAGAATCTTAGAACATTACCAATAAGATCAGATTAGAAATAATATTGAAAAACAATTTTCAAACTAGTTAAAAATGTACCTAGGGGAATAAGACTCTTGCTGAAAACAGCAAGCATGGGTAAGTTCCATGAAAGTAAATAATCATTCAAATACATGGAGTTGTCTGTCCCTAAGTATTGTACATTTTGAGATACAAATTTTCCAATTCCCTTATATTTGGTCTACTTTTAAGGTCATAAAAGTCCTTTTCACAAAATAATAAAAAATGCTCTGATTAGGAGCCAGGCACAGTGGCACACACCTGTCATCCCAGTGACTCGGCAGGGTGAGGCAGAAGGATTGCAAGTTCAAGACCAGCCACAGCAACTTAGCAAGGGCTCTCAGCAACTTAGCAAGATCCTGACTCAAAATAAAAAATGAAAAGGACTGACAATATAACTGAGTGGTGATGTGCCCCTGAGTTCAATCCCAAATATGAATACAAAAAAGAAAAAGAAAAAATGTTCTGAGTGAATGAAAATTTTATGTAAATATAAATAAAAAAAGAAAAAGAAAAAATGTCAGTCATGAAAAGCTATAGAATTATCTGAATACTACATACTCAGATTAAAAATAGCTTGACGAAACATGTCAAAAGAAGAAAAATAAAATACATGGATAGAGCTGGAGAATATCATGCTAAGCAAAATAAGCCAATCACCCAAAACTTAAGGACAAATGTTTTCTCCAATATGTAGATGCTAATTCACAATAGGGCAGGGATGCTAGGGAAGACTAGACTAGTTTTTAGATTAAGTAAAGGGGAATGAAGAGGAAAGTGGGTATGAGGGTAGGAAGGATAGTAGAATGAATCAGACATTATTAACCTATGCAGATATATAACTATAGGACCAATGGGATTCTACATCATGTATAACCAGAAGAATGAGAAATTATATTCCATTATACATGATGTATCAACATGTATTCTACTGTCATGTATAACTAATTAGAACAAATAAAAATAAGAATTTCCAATAATTTGTTGAGGGAAAATACAGATTTTTTAAAAATACATGACTCAAGTTGAAAAGCAAATATTAGGTTTTACATACATTGTATATCTAACATGAAAGAGTATCGGATATCCTTTTCCAAGGCTGGATGTTTTACAACACAAGTAATCCGCCTTCCTCTAGCAAATCTCGTTGGAAACAGCTTGTACTGGCTGACAACTGTTGCTGTTTCATTTGGAAAGGTAGTTGTAATAGATTCCATTTCACCAAGATCACCTTCCCAGTCAATATGTGCAACTGGTTTTCCAGTGGCTGCGATACAAATGGCTGCTACTGTTTCATTTCCTCCATCGATTAAAGAATCTGGCCCTTTTATCAGGCTCACAGTGGGTTCAACTGTTCAAATGAAAAACAAAATAGTTAAATTTTAATTAAGAAAATACTTCTTCCTTCCAAGACATATCCAGACATATTTCACAAGCTTAGGAACAACTAATCTACATACATGGATTTTAGGTAATGCCAACATCAACTGAGTTTGGGAAACAAGAAGAAAAGATCTGTAGCTAGGACAAACAGGAGACAAAGATTCTATATTACCATTACAAAGACAGCCCTCCCTGACAAAGGTGTACATTATTTTATGAGGACTGATGAGTTCTCTCCAAATTAGTGCACATAAAAAATTTCTGGGAATTTATTCATAATTTCTTTTACAAGATAAAAGTAATTACTTTTGAAGGGAGATAAGAAGCAGTTTTAATATATAATACTTCATTATGTAGCAAAAGTTTTACTTTTTAAAATGAATTACTACTACTGAGACTATAGATAAAATGTTAAGCAAAAGTAAAATAAAATCCTTTAAGTATACTCAACAGATGCTTTTCTGGGCCCTGAGGGTGACTCATTAATTTCATTTAAAACACACTGGCTTTTAAGCATTCAATCTTTAACTTCTCATATTACCTAAATGAACTGATTACGGTTGCTAAATTTTTTCAACTACTTTTGTTTGTAAGCCATACTTTAAACACACTCTCAACACTTCTTTGTGTATGTTCCTGAGCTTTTCTGGGTGTAAGAGTTTCAAATGTAATATAGAGGGTGGTATTTATTCTTTTTAACTGATTCTTTTTAGTTACATGACAGTACATACACAAGAATTGGGTCCTAAATTACCTAAATTAGAGTAAGATATAATCTGGTGTGTTTTAATGAAATTTTTAATTCCAATATACTAAAATTTATCAGTTGTTATTTACTTTTGAAAATTAACTACTTAATATTCTAAGAAATACCATACTTCTGTACTTTGAAGCCAACAATTATAGGACTTTGTTTTCTTGTTCTCTACAGAAAATTTATAAATTGACTTATTTCTCTAAATGTAATAAGTACTATGGTTTAAAAGTCTATGTCTGATAATTCCAACATCTTATTTCTTGGCAGCTGTTTCTGTTGTCTTATTTTGTGCAGGCAGCTACTTTTGGAATTTTCTTTACTTGGAAATCTGGGAATTCAAGCAAACTATAGACCTCTGCTTGCATAATTACTGTAAAAATAATTTAAAGCCTAGAATTAAGGTATCTTTCCTTCAAAACAGATCCATGTTTTCTTATGACAAGCTCCTAAAAACACTAAGCAAGCCACAATTTTCTTAAGTTAATATACAGTTCTAGAGATCTACAAGGAAGGCTGGCTTACTTTTAGGTTATTACTATTCTGAGAATATAAGTGTTTAAGGTAAAAAGTGAAAATCAGATATACAATTAGGCACTCCATATTGAGCAGAATTACACTACACTTAGACATGTCTCTTTCAATTCTCAATGTTCTCAACATCTTATCATCACAGATGTTTCTTCTAAACTGTTATACATTTTCAAGTGGAATGTAGTTTTCAGCACTAACTTCTACTTTCTCACTTTTTATTAAATTCTACCCTAGCTATATTTCTTTGAAGTTTCTAAGGGTTTTTTTTTTCCACTCTCAGTGAGAAGATTGATCTAATAACTTATGCCATAATTAATAGAATCCTTCTTTTCTCTTTGGGTAACTAAAAACAGTTATTTTAAAGTCAATTTAAAATTTTGTTATTTATTTTTTCTTAAGGGCACCCATCTCCTAGTTGTTTTTACTGGTTTTCTAAAGTTAGTTTTATCACATTAACTTCTCTGTGTAGTGACTCTTCCCTGTCCAACAGTTTGTTGTTGCTTCCTGTGACCATGTAAAAAATGCTACCAAGAGGGGGAACTTTCCACCTTTCTCCCATTCATTCATTCTCTCTCAGTCTATCCTACCTACCCCCATCCTTCCTCTTTTCTCCTCACTGAACTGTGGCCTCGAAACTGCCTACAGAGGAAGCTAGAGCAATAGTGGGGGCTCACCTTATTTTCATACATCTTTCACAGATCAGAATCCTGTATTGCTTATTACCCAATGATTAAAAACTGTTCATTATTTGCCTGATTTTCTTTTTCCAGAGTAAAGAAAATGAATTCAAACCCTGTTATGCCATCATATTCATCAATGAAAGTCAACTGCAAAACCAGTAATACTGAAAATAGGGGAGAATTACCCACAGCTATAATATCCTAATAATGATCATTATCATATTTGTTTCCTTCTCTTTGTTTCTAATTCTAGTTTTTATATAGATGGATTCATTTTATATAATGTTGTGCCTCATTTCTTTTTCAAGTACTTCCCTTAACTGCAACTTTAGAAACTACATAAAATTCCATCAAGAGGAAGTAACCAAATAATATCAAAATCATTCTACTGTGGGGCACTTGTTAGATGTTCCTAAAGCTTTTTGTTATATTACATTCCTTTAATTTGGTTTCTGCTGCAACCACTCTACCGAAACTCTGTTACCAAAGACCACCTAATCTATAGACTTATCCATGCCTATTTCTTTTGAGTAACCTTTTGGAATGTGATAGATCAGAACAGTCCTTCCCAATCAGTTCAAAAGAAGTTTAAGTTCTAATGCCTTAAACTATGTATTACAAGTAATGGGTTAACTTCTAGGTTATGCATTTAGAATGATACTAGCTATATTCCACATGTAGAAAAACTGAAGAGAGAAATCTTTTCCTGTAGGGCTTAATTCTCATTGCAGAAAAAGGCTGCTAAAGTAATGCTTATAAACTTTTCTTCTCCTATTATGAATAATAGTACTCTGCCTTGTCTCATAGCTTTCCCTGAACACTTCATCCATTAATTCTTCCAACCTCTTGCTCTAATAATCAGTCACAGGCCTGTTCTGTATCCATCTTAGAACTTCAATAAGTAATACTGCCCATATGATCCCAAACTTTATTCAATTTTACTACAAGTCTGGCTCCTCCGTTTCTAACTACCCAACAGGTATTTTCATTTATATATCCTTAAATTTAATAAACCTAATGCTGAACTATTATCCAAGCTTCTTAACAGCTATCTGAAATTCAGATGAGCCCATTCAAATAATAGCAACAATTTGTTTTGTTCCATCAGCAAGTTTCAAAACCTGTTACTGTTCAAACTTCCCTTGTTTCTTATATTTACAAAGAGTTATAAAATCCTGCTAATTATTCCTTAGTAATATTGCCCTTCTTCACTCAAATGGCAGAAATTAGAAAATTAATTTCAAGACTTCACAGCCTCATGGCCAAAACAGTATGATTTTAGGATATCATAATTTTAATCTAGACTAATCTTCCTAAATCATAACTTTCACTACATGAAATCTACTTTAAATTAGTCATCAAGTTAGTTCTCTAAGTCAGGTGAGAACATAGTAGAAGTGGACATAAATCATTAGAGGGTCTTGCTAAAACATAAATTATTGTTCAGTAACTCTGAGAGAGGTGTGAAATTCTGTACTCCTAATAAGCTTCCAAGTGCTGCTGGTTCATGGACCCAGGAAGGATCTGAGAGTAAAAGAGGCAGGAAGAAGAAGCACACCATTATATATACACACACACACACACACACACACACACACACACACACAGATCATATTTCTAGTAATATGTCAGTCTAGCATTCAAATTACTTTAATTTGCTCTTATTCTACCTTTCCAGACTTGAAAATTTTTGTTTTCTATATAAATACTTTGTGAAGAATCAACACATTACTTTTTCAGTGTTCCACTAATGCAGAGTTTTCAAAGGGGATGATGGAAGCGCTACTGGCATTTAGTAAGTTAGGGGTCATGGATGCTTCTAAATAGGCTACATTGGATAGGACAGCTCACCAAAATGAAGAATTCTGACCCCAAAAATCACCAGTAGGAAGTAAGAAAAATTTTGCCTTAATGTATAGTTTTCTGCCTCTCTGCCTTGGCTCGCCTGCTCTCAATTTTAGAATAATATTTTCCTATTCTTTAATTTTTACCTATACACAAAAACTGTCCATCATTTAAAGACTAACACAACTACCGAGTCCATAAAGCATTTCTTAACTACCATGTTCACCAAATTCATTCTTATACCTTACTTATATAACATTTACTGTATGTCTGTTATATGTCAGGAATTCTTATTAGCTTTAGGGAAAACTATCAGTAACCAAATTCCTAGCAGCTGAGCAGTCTGTTTTTAATTTAATTTTAATTTTATTTTTTTTAGTTATTGATGGATTTTTATTTTATTTATATGTAGTGCTGAGAATCAAACCCAATGCCTCACACATGCTAGGCAAGCACTTTAAGCCTGAGCTACAGCCCCAGCACCAGCTGAGCAGTTTTTGGAGGAAAGACCTAAGCAGTGTATTTCTATGTGAGCAATAAACTATCGCTCCTTGATCCTTATTGCATCATTCCAAAAATACTCTGCAGTGTTTCAAAATTGTTTAACATCCTTCTGCAGGTGGTTATCTTAATGCTAATAAGGTTATTCAAAATTTCACCATAAATTTTAACAGTTATCAGATAGAAAATGGAGGAATATCATTTATTATGAGCAATATCACAAGATTCAAATAGCTATCCAAATCCACAAAGGCCAATTTGATGTGAATAAAATTTGATGTGAAAAAAAAAATTGATGTGAAAAAAAGTGTCAGAAGGCTCCAAGAAGTCAAAATCAATCACTGAAAATAAAAAAAGAAAAACCTAAATAAAGATGGTAATTATTTATTTCGAGGTTAAAGATATAAGAGGTAGTAATGGAAACAAATGTCACGGAAATAGCTTCTAGTACAATTAAAACATTATCTTTCATGAAAAAAGTAGAAAGCTAAAACAATGACGAATTATATAGACAGATGGATAGATACTAATAATAAGATAAAAATCCTAGAATCAGTAGTAAGACAAAATTTGAAAAATCACATTTGAATTATTGTATTTTAAATCCAAATTTGAAGAAAATTGTAAAACATCTTAAAATTTGAAAATAAGATTCAAACAGTGAATATCAATCAAGCTAAATATAATCAAGCTAATATATAACCCTCACTACTATCACCAAAATACACAATTCAAGTACACCTACCTAACACAGTTACAGTTGTAGAGGACTGGGCATTTCCAAGTGGGAACGTAACAGCTTTGCATATGTATTTTCCAGAATCAGAGAATCCGATGTTATGTAGAGTAATTGTTGCATCGTTAAGTGAATAGTTTTTAAACAGGACTCTTCCCTGATATTCTCCTTGAACAGAGAATCCATATTGAGGATGATGAACTGCAATAGTCTGTGAACTTTTGCCATGTATCTTCTCCCATGAAATTTGTGTTATGGTTTCATTTACTTCAATTAAACATTTCAATGAAACATTCTTTCCCCATACTGCTGTGACATGTGGCTCCACAATAATTGGTCCAGCTAAGGCACCTATGAGGGGGAAACACATAATGGAGCTATTAAAATGGAGAAGTTACACAAAACATACATATGGTGTCTCTCCCCACTTTTCCCCCTTTTCTCAGATTCATATTCCCTCTCTTTCCGCCCCCACCATTACCCCCATTCTTAGGACTGAACATCAAAAAGGACTGAATAAGATATTCTCTGGGCTGGATGTAAGAGTCAAAGAGTGAATATCAATCAAGCTAAATACTCGCCAATATATACTACTGTAGGAAAAAAAGCACTAGAATAAGACAAACCTTGGAAGCAGAGACTTCCCCAGTCAACCATTCTTATGTGAGATTCCAGACCTGGCTGACACTTTACATCCCCATGAGACTCTAAAACTGAAGATCCATCTAATGTATCTTCTCCCATGCCTAGATTCCTAACCCACAGACATTGAAAGATAATGAGTAGATATTGTTTTAAAGTTACTAAGTTTTAGGGTAATTTTTTTATACAGCAATAAATAACTTATTCATATAAGAGCTTTCAAATCAAACATAACAAACTATTTTCTTTTAGAGGATTCCTATATTAAAAATTAACATAAAAAATATTTTTCAAGACAGACCAATTTTTAGCAAACACTAATGAAGAAATGCTTATATAAATGTGAAATCTATTTTTTTTCCTTTTCAGGATGAAAAAAAAATTCCATAAGCAAAACTTAAAATGAAATGACATCAACCTTTTTCCATATAATATTTATTTCCTTCCTAAAAGCAATGGAGCCAAACTTATATTGTTTTGAGGGAAGACTAACATTCATGAATACTATAGTCAATCAAGATATTAGTTCATTAACAAGTACATTAGAACACAAATAGTAGGTCCTTGAAGAGTTTACCACTCACATGTGTCGCCTAGCAAAAGAAAAAGTACAAAAATTAAAAAGTATCCCAAAAGCTTGGGAGGCTGAGGCAGGAGGACTGCAAGTTCCAAGCCAGCCTCAGCAAAAGCAAGACATTAGGCAGCTCAGTGAGACCCTGTCTCTAAATAAAATACAAAATAGAGCTGAGGATGTGGCTCAGTGGCTGAATGCCCCTGAGTTCAATCCCCAGTTACTCCCCCCAAAATTAAGAAGCAAACCAAAATATATATTCAAAAAATGAAAACTATGAACAATGAATACCTTTAAAACTTAATTTTGTCTAATTAGAATTTTTAAATATATACATATATGTAATGTAAAAGATATCACAAGATAATCAAAAAATGTATTTAAACATGTTCAAACAGTTCTAAACAACTAAGATATTTCATATTATTATTTTCATGTACACATTCTGGAAGGGAAAACTGTAAATTAGAGGACAAATTTTACTATTTAAGTGATATTATAGAAAGCAAGTGACAATTTTCACTAACTATAGTTAACAGCTATGGAAGAAAGAATTTTGGTTTTTTAAACCACTGCTCCAAAATATTTGAGGTCCTCATGATTTTACTATCATTCTTTATCAACTTTCAAGTATATACAATTAATCATTAATCCAAGACACACAAAATGTGGTAGTATATCAGGAATTACATCAAGTTATCATGAGCCTGGTATTAAACCAGAAAATATGCAAACTCATGAAAAAGTAAGTTGCACAAATATTAATAAAAGCATTTAATAAAATATAATATTCACTATCTGGTTTTATAAAACATCTGAGAAAAGGATTGTTAATAACATAGCAGACTTCTCAAACAGTGGCCATCATCACAGTAAAAGTATAAAAAGAGGCAAGGCCATTAAAAAGAAAGATCATGACAGCATGGTCCATTATCACTGCTATTGTTCAAATGAAAACAAATCCAAAGCAGTGAAAAGAAAAGAAAAGAAAAGAAAAGAAAAGAAAAGAAAAGAAAAGAAAAGAAAAGAAAAGAAAAGAGAAAAGAAAAGAAAAGAAAAAGGAAGGAAAGAAGGAAAGAAAGAAAAGAAACATGAAAGGATAAGTATTATAAAGAAACAAAAAGCATTACTATCTGAAAAATCTAAAACCAAGGTCCAGTGATAGGCTATAAAAACCAGTAATCTGGCTGTTTATAAAACGTATACAAAATACATATGAATCATATAACCAAAATAGTAATAATACTTTTATAATTTTTTGCAAAAGGCTTAATTACTAAGCCATAAGTATATTATATTATCTTATTACAAGTTATTGGTCTGTTTAGGTTTTCCATGTTCTCTTGATTCATTTTTGGAGCATCTATTTTGTCTAGAAATACATTCACACTTCTTCTAGGTCTTCCAATTTATTGGAATATAAATTTCAAAATTAGTCCCTGATATGATCCCCTGAATTTCTGAGGTGTCTGTGGAGATTTCTACTTTTTCATTTCTAATTTTATTATATGGGTTTTCTCTCTTTTTCTTTTTTTTAAAAGAAAAAATTTTTTTTGATTTTTCAGAAAATACCAAAAACTATGAAAAAACAAGCTGAATATTTGGATGTACCAAAAGCAAAATTAAAAGTAAAAAATAACATTTAAAAATCATGTTTTAAGCTTTGAGAAACATTTTAACACACCGATTTTAATTCTTTTTCAATAAAGCAAAACAAATTCACTAAACCACAACAATTGGAGTGCTATTTTTTAACGATTGTAATTTTTTACAATTATAAAATATAATGTAAGCATTTGATTCCTCCCTTCTCTCTTTTTCTTTTGGTTAGTTTAGCTAAGGACTTATCAATCAAAGTATCCAACTCTTGTTTCATTCATCCTTTGTATTTTTTTTTTATTATTCTCAGGTTCATTGATTTTGGCTCTGATCTTAATTATTTCCTTACTTCTACAGGTTTTAGAATTAGTTTGTTCTTTTTCAAGTGTCTTGAAATGCACATTAGGTTGTTTATTTGGGATCTTTCTGATTTCCTTCTGTAGGAACACAGATCTATAAACTTTCCACTTAGAATTGTCTTCATAGTGTTCCAGAAGTTCTGGTATATTGTGTCACTATTTTCATTTGAGTTTAAGAATTTTGTCATTTTGCCTTTGATTTCTTCTATCACCCATTCATCATTCAAAAAAACTACTGTTCAATCTCCATGTGTTTATATAGTTTCTATAAGGTTTTGACCTGTTGATTTCCAATTTCACTCCATTATGATCTGATGACAAGGATTATATAATTTTTTTTCTATTTACTAAAAGTTGCTTTGTGGCTTAAAATATGCTCTGTTTTGGAGAAGGTTCCATGAGCTGCTGAGAAGAAAGTATACTTGGCCATTGTTGGATGAAATATTCTACAAGTGTCTGTTGGGTCCATTTGATTAATAATATTTTTCATGTCCAAAGAGTCTTCTGAATTTATGTCTAGATGACCTATCTAATGGTGAAAGAGGTATGCTATTATTGTTATTATTATACTGGGGTCTGACACTTCAATTTGAGTAGTGCCTCTTTTACATAGTTAGAGGAACCCAAATTTGGGGCATAAATATTTATTATTGTTGTTTCTTCTTGCTGAACTTATCAAATACCTTCTTTGTCTCTTCTGACTGAATTTGGTGTGAAATCTGCTTTGTCATGTACAAGAGTAGGTATACTCCTGTTTGTTTTCAGGCTCCATTTGCATGGTATATCAATTTCCATCCTTTCATTTTCAAACTGTGTCTGTCTGTGCCTGTATGGTGTGTCTACCACATTCAAAAGCAAACTCACCAAGATAAAGGCTCATGAGTTGACCAAAAAAGTAATCCTCTGATAAAAATGTAAGAATCTTTCAAAACTTACTAATTGATATTTTCATTAAAAAGCATTTGGTTTTAAAATAATTGAAGTCAGCATATGACACATGCATACCCATGTTTATATGTGCAATTCACAATGGCTAAGTTATGAAACCAGCCACCATGTCTGTCAACAGATCAAAAATGTGATAAATATATAGAGTTTTACTCAGACAGAAAGAATTATGTCATTTGCATGAAAATGGATGAAACTTGACTGCATTAAGTTAAACAAAATAAAGCTAGACTCAGAAATTCAAGTCATGTTTTCTCTCATGTGGAATTCAAAAAGAAAAAAAAAAGGGAGAAGCAGGGGAGTCTCATGAAATTAGGAGACCATGAAAGTATGGAGGAAGGCAGGGGTGAAAAGGAAAGGAAGGTACTGGGTAACAAAACTCGCCAAATTATGTTACGTGCATTATGAATATGTCACAACGAATCTTATGTATAGACATAATTCACTCATAAAAATGTATTTAGTTTTACTAGTAAAAAAAATACTAATGTTAACTATCAAAAGTTTGTTTTAATTTATAGGAGATAATAACTGATTTTTCTACAAAAATATTCTGAGTAATATTTTGCAAGTTTTGGTGTATGTTTCTTTGTTTCAACCCATAAACCTCTGAACAAGATTTTGTACTACTTTTCGAGAATTGATAGTTTGGTTCTCCCTTACATTCTGTGAATTTCTAATGATATTACTTTTGCATTTTAGTCAGTTAGAGCTCTGTTGCTTGCAAATAAAAAAGTCTAATATATTTCTATTCCAGGCCCAAACTAAAAAGCTAAAGACAACTTGTAAATAAGATTTTCTCCATGAAATCTTAAAACTGGAGGAACAGATCTTTTGTTATAATTCTTAAACCAAACTCCTTCAGGGTACAGTGGTGCATGCCTCTAATCTCAGCAGCACAGGAGGTCTACAAATTCAAAGCCAGCTGCAGTAACTCAGTGAGATGCTGTCTCAAAATAAAATAAAAAAGGGGCTCTGTACGTGGTTCAGTGGTTAAGTACCCCTGGATTCAATCTCCAGTACCTGACCACCAAAAAAACTTGCTATCAGAATGCCTTATTTTTGAGGGACTCTCAAAATCTTTAGCCTATTTCATTCCTCTGCTTTCAATCTGAAATTAAGTTTAACTAAAGAGCAAAGTGTCTTAGAGACACATTTGTTACAAAAGACCTGAAGTTCACCATTAGTTGTGATGTAAATCTGGAATCCAAAGAGATTAAGGAAGTGCAAAGAAATGGATCATTCTCTATCTGCCAAGAATTCTAACCATGTCATAAGGTGTTCTAGGTTACTTTCATGCTAGGATTCAAGGGAAACCATATCAAAATATGCCATTTATGTAATAAATAAAAGCAATAAACTAGTTATAAAACAACATCTAAGTATCCTCAACAACTTCGGCATACTTCAACATATTTTATACTTCAACATATTTTACTTGATTTACAAGTTTAAGTTTAGTTTAATTAGTTAGCTAATGATATAAAACTAACATTATTCTTTTGAAGAATGGGAGTATTTCTTCCCCTACCTGTAATTCCATGAAAACATTTTGATAAAAACATAACTTCTGAAGTCTTCATGTATATTTGAATGGTCATTCAGTATTTAGAGGGTGCCCAAAGAATACAAAGTATCTG